ATGCCACCACACCCAGCTAATTTTTGTATTTTTAGTAGAGATGGGTTTTCACCTTATTGGCCAGGCTAGTCTCAAACTCCTGACCTCAGGTGATCCACCTGCCTCAGTCTCCCAAAGTTGTGGGATTATAGGCATGAGCCACTGCGTCCGGCCAGTCTTCTATTATTTTTGTATATAGTAAACATACACAGTCCCTTTAGTCTTCAAATATAATATTTGGTCTTCACCTTTTTCCTGTAAAATATGGAAGTAAGTTTGATAATCTGATCTACTGATTGAGAGTATTATGATGAGGTGGGTGCTGGGAGCACAATTACATGAGAGAGTAGACTAAAGCAGTAAGATGTCTAGCAAAGACTAGATCCCTCTGCTTAAGCAGAGAGCACCAGGGAGCTGAGTGCTTACAAGTTCGTGAAGAGAGCAAGACAGGAGAGGCATCCCAACAACAGCAAGTCTCAGCCAGGGGTGAAACAAACAATGATAAGAAGGTGGAGGGATTTTCACTTGCTGATATGATTATTTGCTCAGCACATTCATTCTGGAGCTAAACTAACAATGTTTAAACCCTCGTTCATGTTGTCATCAGTAATATTGCTCAGATTCTGTGTGGCAAATTAGCTTTAGTCTTCTTTTTACGTCATCTGAGCACCCAAATTAATGACTACTGAAAACGGAGTCAGTGTAGGGATAACAGCATGCGTTTGGGGAATGAAGGAAAAGCTCAGGGCATCATAAATAACACAAGGGTAGGACAAATACAATCAAAGATTCCCTTGTTTGCAGTTTTTGACCATAACACTAATGGAATAGTCCCTAAGATGACATATGAAGGGGTTATACCAAATTTTTATCAAACTTTTCATTCAGATGTTTCCCATACTAACCAGTTCTGAATTGGTATTCCAGAGATAGTAACATATTTCATTAAAAGCTTATATCAAAGCATAAATATTATCCAAGGTATATGCATAATAAGGTGATAAATGACTTCTCCAGAACTTCACTTAAATTAAATTAACATTGAGAGTGGAGTTCTCCTTTTTCAAAAGAGTTCCACACAATCTACTGCTTGCCCCCTGCTGAGAGCGCTAATTTATTTTTTCTTTGCTAGAAAACCAGGAGACGGTCTCTCTTAAGACTGGGTTTTTTATTTATTAATTTCGTTCACTGATTCTAAGATACTTTAACAACAACTGTGCATCAGCGGGTACAGTATTTTCAAGCTATTTAATGTAATGTCAGACAATATGTTTCCTAGTAGAAAGAGAATCCCTTTGGAGTGTTAGGCAGTTTGCTTCTCTATATAAGACTTCAAAATACAAACAGTAGCAATTATTTATCACAGCCTCAGAAGCCTAGTTATTGGATAGAAGTCTTTGCTTAACAAAGGACATGTGCAGAGTAATGTTCATTTTCCAAGTTTTTTACTCAGAAGGCAATTCAAAGGGAGCATGTCCAAGTAAAATATTTATTATTATTGGTAGTTATTTAGGACTTTTCTCTAATTCTTCAAAGCTCTAAAACTCAAGGAGAGAAAAATAAGCACTTCTCTGCTTGTCAAAGGTAATTTAAATTATAACTAGTAAGTACAGACACCCATTAAGTGACTTATCTGTGTCTCCATGACAAGACTGTGATTTGTCATCAGCATTCTCTTCTCTCTCATTTTTTCCAAATAGGCATAAGGCAAGACTCCAATTCACAAACTGCTTCTGTTCTAAAAATTAATTTGTAGATAAATACTGCTAGAGCAGGATAACTAGTTGTGTGATTTGGTGCAAATGATTTACTTTCTCTGAGTTTAATTCTTCATATACAAAATGGACCTAATTTCTAATTTTCAGGATTATTGTGAAGATTTAGTAAGATAATGAATATAACATATTTAGTACACTACCTAGCAAAGAATGAATATTAGATGGAATATAACCCACAATGGTCAATTTGAGCCATATAAAAAATTGAAACCAAATTTTAAATGTGTTAATATCATACCTTGGAGTCAAGAATATGCAGGTCATTTTTTCAAGTAAGTTTCGTATTGAGAAATACATATAGTAAAACATATAAGTCATAAATGTAACTCAGTAACCACATGTAGCTCAATAGCTCAATAAATTATTTAAATTTAAACACACCCATAAAACCAAATCAAGAACTAGAAGCAGTGTTCCAGAAGCCCACTCCCTTGTCCTTTCTCCCAGTCACTATCACCTTCTTAAAGGTAATCAGTATTCTGACTTCTAAATTAATTGTTTAATTTTAATATCTCTGGGTTGGAATGAGCACCTTATTATAGGCTTATTGACCATTTGGATATCCTCTTTTGTGAAGTACCTGTTTAACTTATTTGTCCAATTGTCTATTAGTTGACCATTTTCTCATTGATTTGTAGATTTGTTTTGTTTTGGTTTGAGATGGAGTCTCACTCTGTCACCCAGGCTGGAGTGCAGTGGTGTGATCTCACGTCACTGCAACCTCCACCTCCCCGGTTCAAGTGATTCTCTTGCCCCAGCCTCCCAAACAGCTGGGATTACAAGTGCATGCCACCATGACCGGCTAACTTTTGTATTTTTACTAGAGACAGGGTTTTACTATGTTGGCCATGGTTGGCCAGGCTGGTCTCAAACTCCTGACCTCAGGTGTTCTGCCTGCCTCGGCCTCCCAAAGTGCTGGGGTTACAGAAGTGAACCACCAGGCCTGGCTATTTTTTAAATATGTTGTATTTTGGATGTCTTTATCAGATATATGGATGTAAATTTTTTCCCTCTGAACCTTCTCTTTTACTTCCTTAATCACTTTTTTTAATAAATAGAAGTTCTTGATTTTAATGTGGTCTAATTTACCAATTTTTTCATTTTTATTTACAAGCCACATGAGTAAGAACAGTAGAAACAAACAACAGATTGAGACAATTAAGGGCTTCTTAGGTTAAGATATGATTACTAGACAGAAAATACTTTAAAAATAGGCCAGGGGTAGTGACTCATGACTATAATCCCAGCACTTTGGGAGGACATGGTGGGAGGATTGCTTGAGCCAAGGAGTTCAAGACCAGCCTGGGCAACAAAGCAAGATCCCATCTCTACAAAAAAAAGTTAAAAATTCACTGGGCATAATGGTGGTAGTCCCAGCTACTTGGGAGGCTGAGGTGGGAGGATCACTTGAGCTCAGGAGTTATAGGCTGCAGTGAGTCATGGCCACACCCCTACACTCCAGCCTGAGCAGCAGAGTGAGCCTGTCTCTTAAAAAAATAAAATAAAATCTGAGACTATTCGAAACTTATTTTTTAATGAAAATTAGGTGCATAAAACTGGCTTAATCGTGACCCTTAAATTATGACACGGTAGAGTTATTTACCCAAGAATGGCCTGTTTCATTTTATTTTATCTTAAAAACAATAAACACTTGGAAATTCATTACCAAACTTCAGCTCATCACCAAACCTGAGAACTTAAAATATTAACAGGTAACTTAAACATTTACCAGTAAGAACAACAACAACAACAACAATAATAATAATAATACCTCAGTGGATTGGTTAGCAACATATTAAACACATTTGACAGAGAATTAAAGAATTAAAAAGATAGAGCTGAAAAAACTAGCAGATTCCAAGACAATGAGAAAAGAGTAAGGAAAATATAAAAGGAAATTTAAGAGATAAGAAAGTTCAAACATAGTGGCCTAAATGCAGTCTAAGAAAAAGACAACAGAGAATATGGAGAAAAGGTCATGACTCACCAAGAGGTAATGACTCACATTTTTTTCAGAACTGATAAAGGATATCAAGCATCATATTTTAAAAACTCAATAAAACCAAAGCCAATTATATAGAAATTCATACCTAAAATGCTATAATGAAATTGAGAACAAGAAGATTGAACCACACTTTTTTTTCTTTAAATTTTTTTTTTTTTTTTTTTTTTTTTTTTTTTTTTTTTTTTTTTAGAGACAAGTTCTCACACTGCCAACCAGGCTGAAGTGTAGTGGTGGTATCATACCTCAACCAATTCTTCAACCTCAGCCTCCAGAGTAGCTGGGATTACAAGCATAGGCCACCATGCCTGGCCTGAACATTTTCAACTGAAAACTGTGTAATTGTCAAACAGATAGGGAGGAAGAAAAGATGAGTAACCTAACAGTAACAATGGATGCTGGAGAACAATAGAATAATATATCCAGAGTTTATTGAGGTAAAAAAAATCACAACCTGGATTTGTAGAGACCTCAGAAGTTTCTCAAAAAACTGCCTGCCCCTGGTCTCATCTTTGTGGGAAGATAAAGAAAAAATGAGCACATAGTGATAGATCTCCACTAGGGAAACTCCTAAAGATGTAATTCAGGAGAAAGGAAAAGAAGCTCAGAAAAGAAGACTTGAATGCAAGAAGGAAAGAAAATAGAAAAAAATATATATAATTGTAGATAAATCTAAGGAAGTATTGATTAGAATTAATAAGTGATTAGAATTAAGATCCTGGTTTCAAATGGGGATTAGTAATTAATTAATTTTGGACTTTGTTAAAAAATACACTATAAAATTTTAAAGACATTAACAAATAAAATAGAAATAGGATGTATAACTTCCAAATTAGTAGAGAAAAAATATGTGATAAAAAAAAGCAAAATAAGCCAAAGGGAAAGAAAAAAAGAAAAATAAATGAGACAAATATAAAGCAAAAGGTTATGTGGTAGAAACCAGTAAAATATTTCAGTACTATACAGAGAAAAAATATCAGCAAAAGACAACCTGGAGAGCTGTTTTAATAATCAGACAACCTGGATAACTGCTTTAATATCAGCTATTTTAATTTAAGACAAAAGAAAAGCTTTATTTGTGATTTATTTTTTAAAAAATCACTATATGAAGATGAGAAGTTCAATTAATCAAGGCCGTTTAAACATTTAACTTTGTATACATGTAGTTTAAATAGCTTCAAAATACTCAAGGAAAAGGTAATTAAAACTATAATAAGAAGTGGACAGCTTTCCAACTTTGATCCAGGAGAATGGCTCCCGCAAAGAAGGGTGGCAAGAAGAAAAAGGGCCATTCTGCCATCAACGAGGTGGTGACACGAGAATACACCGTCGATATTCACAAGTGCATCCATGGATTCGGCTTCAAGAAGCGTGCCCCCCGGGTACTCAAAGAGATTCGGCAATCTGCCATGAAGGAGATGGGAACTGCAGATGTGCGCATTGATACCAGGCGCAACGAAGCGGTCTGGGCCAAAGGAATAAAGAACGACCCATACCGTATCCGTGTGTGGTTGTCCAGAAACCGTAATGAGGATGAAGATTCACCAAATAAGCTCTATACCTTGGTTACCTATGTAACCTGTTACCACTTCCAAAAATCTACAGTATGAATGAGAACTAATCGCTGATCGTCAAATACATCAAATAAAGTTATAAAATTGAAAAAAAAAAAAAGAGAGAGGAAATGGACGATTATCATTAAAGGTTGAGATGTCAACACAGCTCTCTCTATTATTGAGAGGCCAATGGATAGAAAAGATTTGAACAATGAAATAGGCTAGATATGTACAGAATCCTCCACCGAAAACATAGAGAATACAAAGTCTTCTCTACCACATGAGAAACAAGTTTAAAAAAATGGTCACAAGCAAGGTTTTTGACTTTTAAGTCAAAAAAATTTTAAAATTGCTATCAGATTATATTTTCTTATGACAATGCAATTGTTATAAATTAATAACAAAAAAGTTACATCTGACAAAGTTCTGATATCCAGAATCTATTAAAAAAACTTAAAAAATTGAAAAAGAAGAAGCAACCACATTGAGAAATGGGCCAACGACATGAACAGACACATCTCAAAAGAAGACATACAAGAGGCTAACAAACATGAAAAATATTTTCCACATCACTAATTATCAGAGAAATACAAAGCAAAACCACAATGAGATATACCACCTCACACCAGTCAGGGTGGATATTATTAAAAAGGTCAAAAAACAGCACATGTTGGTGAGACTGTAGAGATAAGGGACTGCTTACACACTGTTGATGGGAGTGGAAAGTAGTTCAGTCAGTGTGGAAAACAGTTTGAAGATTTCTCAAAGAACTTAAAACAGAACCACCATTTAACTCAGAAATCCCATTACTGGGTATATATTCAAAAGAAAATAAATCATTCTACCAAAAGACACAGTCACTCACACCTTCATTGCAACACTATTCACAATATCAAAGACATGGAATCAACCTAGGTGCCCACCAACAGTGGATGAGATAAAGAACATGTGGTGCATATACAACAATAAATACGAAGGAGTCATAAAAAGAATGAAATCATGCCCTTTGCAGCAACATGGATGCAGTTGCAAGCCTGATATAGTTAGGCTTTCTGTCCCCACCCAAATCTCATCTTGAATTGTAATCCCTATAATCCAAGGGAGAGACCAAGTGGAGGTAATTGAATCATGGGGCAGGTTCCCCCAGGCTGTTCTTATTACAGTGAGTGAGTTCTCACAAGATCTGATGGTTTTATAAGGGGCTCTTCCCTCTTTGCTCAGCATTTCTCTTTCCTACCACCTTGTAAAGAAGATGCCTCGCTTCCTCTTCACCTTCCACCATGATGGTAAGTTTCCTGAGGCCTCCCCAGCCATGCAGAACTATGAGTCAATTAAACCTCTTTCCTTTATAAATTACCCAGTGTCAGGCAGTTCTTTATAGCAATGTGAAAACGAACTAATACAAGTGAATTCAAAAAGGAACAGAAAACCCACCAAATACTGTACGTTCTCACTTATAAGTAGGAGCTAAACATTGGGTACTCATGGACATAAAAATGGCAACAGTAGAAACTGGGGACTACTAGATGGGGGAGGGAGGAAGGGAGGTAAGGCTTGAAAAACTAAATGTCGAGTATTATGATCAGTACCTGGGTGACAGGATAATTTGCATATCAAATCCCAGCATCGTGTAATATACCCATGTACATATTACTACTGAATCTAAAATAAAAGCTGAACCAGGCACCTTGACTCATACCTGTAATCCCAGCACTTTGGGAGGGCGAGGCAGGAAGATTGCTTGAACCCAGAAATTGAAGACCAGCCTGGGCAACATGGTGAAACCCTGTCTCTATTAAATATATACATACATACATAAAAACATAAATAAATAAAATAAAATAAAAACTAGAAAAGAAACTTTTTAAAAAGTTGAAAAAGATTATAAAAGTAAATAAAATCTCAAATCATTTAAACCACAATTCTAAATGACTTGTGAAAGCTGAATACTTTGTTCACTGAATTTACTCATATACATAACTAAACTGAAATTCTATCATTTCAGCATACCTATTTTGATAAATCAAGATTTAACTATATATAAAATATATAGGAAACTATAAAAAATATTGAAAATAAGAATGTATGTAAATTTTTTTTTTTTTTTTTTGAGACAGAATCTCGCTCTGTTGCCCAGGCTGCAGTGCAGTGGCATGATCTGGGCTCACTGAAAGCTCCGCCTCCAGGGTTCACGCCATTCTCCTGCCTCAGCCTCCCGAGTAGCTGGGACTGCAGGTGCCCGCCACCGCGCCCGGCTAATTTTTTGTATTTTTAGGGGAGACAGGGTTTCACAGTATAAGTAACATTTTAAAGGTATAATGGGGGTGTCCAAACTTTTGGCTTCCCTGGACCACATTGGAAGAAGAATTGTCTCGGGCCACACATAAAATACACTAACACTAATGACAGCTGATGAGCGAAAAAAACAAATTGCAAATAAAATAAAATAAAAATCTCATAATATTTTAAGAAAGTTTACGAATTTGTGTTGCGCTGCATGCAAAGTCATCCTGGACCACATGTGGCCTGTGGACTGCGGGTTGGTCAAGCTGGCATTGGATAAGGAAAGAGCTAAGAGAAAGTATAAATTGCTCATTTTCTTATTTATTTCTGCAAGGAATAGAACCATTTAAAGTTGCTAAATTTAAAAATAGAAGAATAACTAATGTTATATAAAATGTTAATATAAAGTTAAGTAGAAATTTTAAAACAGACAAAAATTGTTGAACTTATAAAAAGAAAAATTGCACACATCAAAAAAAAAAAAAAAGTTCAAGGCTAAGTGCAGTGTCTCATGCCTGTAATCCCAGCACTTTGGGAGGCTGAAGCAGGAGGATCACTTGAGCCCAGGAGTTCAAGACCAACTTGGGCAACATAATGAGACCTTGTTTCTACAAAAATAATAATAATAATAATTAAATTGCTGAGCATGGTGACATACACCTATAGTCTCAGCTACTTGGGAGGCTGAGGCAGGAGGATCACTTGAGCCTAGAAGTTTAAGGCTGCAGTGAGCTATGATCACACCACTGCACTCCAGCCTGGGTGACAGAGCAACACCCTGTAACCAAGAAATAAAGCCTAATGCATTTATTGTATCAACAAATATAAACGGCATGTATTCTTCTACTGAAAGAAAAACTCATATTGGGTAAAATTTTAAAATTATATATTGCGTATATGAGACGTCTGAAACAATGTGATTCTTAAAAGATTAAAAATAAGAATATATAAATACAGTCCCACAAAGCTAACTGAAAGAAGAGTTAAAATACAATATTTTTAATATATAAATATTAATTGGAGATCACATTTGCTGAATGCTGTGTGCCAGGAGTGTGCTTTACGTGAATGATACATTCAGTCCTAAAAACAACCCTCTGAAGCGTATTAGCCACATTTTACAGGTGAAGGAACTGAAGCACAGAGAGATTTAAAAATGTATTCAAAGTTGTATAACTGGTCATCAGAGAAGACAGAATTCCAACCCAATTTTCTAGCTCTAGATCCTGTCTAGCAGCAATATTGTCTTCACAGTTTAAAAAATGATAGAACTATTTAAAATATATAATTTTAGTTGCACAGAATATTTTTTTAGAAAGGATATGCTAGAAATTATCAAAATAGTGGTACCTTTACAGAGAATGACTAGGAATAAAAAGAGGATTTTACTTTTTATTTCTCTTTTTTTGTTATTTATTTATTTAGTAGTGGCAGGGAGTTAAATATTGCTTTCATGTATTATTGGATGCATACAAAGGACTATATGTACATTTTGAAGCATATCAATAAAATCAATCTCTGAGAATTACTCAGCTTAAAAACAAACATTGCTAATACTATTACATCTACATTAATACTCTATTATAAACTTCAAAACATGTGAATGTTGTACTTATTTTTTAATTAAAAATTTCAACTGGCTGATACAGCTATACCATTATTATGTTTTTCTAAATATTTTTAAATGAACCAAAAAATAGGTAAAGTGGGGAGGTGGATCAGAATGTGACTTTCCCAAAAATATAATGGCTATGAGTCCCAGTCCCACACAGGAGTGTGACAACACATTATATACCGCAGTGCCGTTGATGAAACTCATGTTTGTCTCACTTAAGGCAATGTAAGACACTATTGAAATATCCACTGTACATTTATATAACAGGTTATTGTACAACCTCTCAAAGGGTAAGTGAGTTCCAAGAGGAAAAAAGCAACTTTATGCAAGTACTTCACTTAAAAATAATGTGTATGAAAAAATTTTACCCATGGATAGAGACTCTTATCACTATTAACGATAACATCAGAACTTATCTCAGCAGGTACCATCAGCTTTTGTCACTCTACTCTTTGTCTTTGCCAACATCACTTTTAGCTTAAAAAAAGAAAAAGGGGAAAAAAAGCACCTGAAAGCCTTGAAACCCAACCATCTTTCCTACATAATTCTGTGATGAACAAACAAGTATTGTTCAACTGTTCCACAATAAGGTTAAGGACCTTTAATAATAATTTCAGCACATTGACAGTATTATCAAAAGCTTTATTCTAATTCTGAACACACAGGCAGAATAAGCTGTGTCTCTGGTGCTTTTAGGTATTCTTTTAGAAATCCATTTTTAATATTCTGGTACTATATAAAATATTTAGCTCTTAATGGAAAAGTTTCCATTCTTGAGACAGCTACTTACATGAAATAATGTTTCTTACTAGCAGATTGAGTGCTAACAGAATTTTTAATAAATCCACATTCTTAGAAATACATTTTGTATAATACATTATTTTCAAGTGATAGTTTACTTCTTTCACTGCAAACTGTTGAAGTAAAAATTCAGGACATTTGATGTGAAGATGCTATTTGAAACACTCCAAAAAAAAAAAAAAAAAAAAAAAACCTCCACAAAACTTCAGTCCTTTAGCAAAATCCTGGCACTGCTAGCATCAATACGACTTCAGCAAAAGGATCTTAAAGGTATTAACTAGCTAAAATATCTTATTGTCTCTGGAATAATCTACATATTGTTACATTCATACTTTAGAATACATATTAAAAATACAAAGAAGCCACTAAACATTCTACTTCCAAATAGAGTATTATTATTATTATTATAGAAATACAAT